TTGAGCGTGATCCCTGAGCTGAGGACTCTAGAGCCATACCTAACTCACTGCATTTAATGCCATGTCTACTGCAATAATTTTAGAAGGTACAATTGTATTGGATGATCTGGAAAATCCTCCCCAAGATATGCCTGCTCTTTGGACTTGGATTTATGCTATGAAATTATAGTATCCTCCAGTACTGAAGGACACCTTTGATTTCATTCAATGGCTGAACCTAGAATGCAATCTCTGAAAAATCTTCTTCATGTAGAAAGATGTCATTGTGGCGTGATGGAGCATTTTTCAGTGTAATTGTTCATGATTGATCATTATTGATTTAGAAAATGGTAAATCTAGATTTACAATGTGTCATAAAAGGGATGTTGATGTTTGTTTTTTTCTATTTATTTCCTGAGTGCAGTATGTGCAATTTTTCTTAGTGTTAAATTGTTGATTTGATAGCATGCCTAAAAAATAATGACTTGAAGTAACATTGTTTTAAACAAATAAATGCCCTATTGTTGTGCTAACAATCTGTTTTCTGTCTTTGTAGTAACAACTAAGTTGAGTACAGCTTACTTGAGAAATTTAAGGCAATCTGTTTCCACACATTTGTCTAGTAATGTGAACAAAGCAGACTTGTTAAGAGAACTGTTTTGCTTGAGTTCTGTGCACTAAGCTTAATTTACATCTCTAAATTGGCTGAACTTATTCAAATTGAGTTAACAACACAAGTTTTCTGGTAACCTATACATATACACAAGTTACCTATACAAAGTTACAGTAAGTTTTATTAACTCAAAAATGATAAACTAATTTGCTTGAGAAATGAGGCAATCAGTTTTCAAAGTAAGTTCAACTCATTACTTTTTACAGTGTGTTCAAACTGCCGAGTATTGTTTAAGCGTTTATGCTGTTTAGCGTAGCTACTTTACGGAGCCAATTCCCTGTCATTGTTTGAGTTTCCCATAGTGTAGTCATAGTCTTGCCTTGCCTTGCCTGTTTTCTCATGTTGTGATTCTTGCCTGTGCATCCTGGATTACCCCTCTCGTCTCGCCCTGTTCGGATATTGATTACCCCTCACCTGGACCATCGCCTGTGTTTGGATTAACCCTTTGGATTGCCCTGTTTGGACATTGTTCGCCCGAGATCGACCACGCCCGTTTACTGGACTATTCTTGTGTCTTGCACCTGTTGCCATTGTCTGACCCTTGCCTGTTTCTGACCACGCCTTTGAATAAAAGCTTTGCAAATGGATCCGCACGTCTCTCGTCCCTGTCGCCTCATTACAAGAAAACAGTTCAACATTTGCCTGAATACAAAACTACTGCTAGGCAAACAATGTTTTTTAATAGAACTTCTTACTCCAACCACTATATAGTTACTAAGATGATAACTTTCTCTTGAGACAACTTGCCCTGGCCTGCCCTATCTCATCTCTTCTTTGGGAGATATACATTAATGTTCAAAAGTTTGGGGCCAGTATGATTTATTTTTTTTTTATTAAAAATGAATGATGTTCACCAAGGTTGCCTTTATTTGATAAAAATACATCAAAAACAATACATTGTGATATATTACAATTTTAAATAACTTTTCTATTTTAATTTGAAAATTATTAAATTTTTTAAATATTTAAACATGTAATTTATTCCTGTGATAAAAGTTGATTTTTTTTTTCTTCAGTGTCACAATTCTTCTAAAATCATTCTTAAATGCTCAACAAAAAAAATTTTGTACTGACCCCAATCTTTTAAATGGTAGTGTAAGATGCTGTAACCCTGTTATACAGTATTTTAAAGTTTACAGAGCAACACACTACTGCTCAGATTTACTGCAACATTACGCACTGTTTGGTGTTATAATGGAGTCGACAGTGGTGTGCGAAACATCATGAATTAAAGAATCTTATGACAGTTTGCTGACGCAGGTCACGACCGTGTCACGCACATCCCTAACAGCAGTACAGGGAAATCACACAGACAAACAAACACCTGATGTGAAGTATTTGATTCATACACTCCCTCCCACACACACAACTGAAACCAATCTCAGTGAACTCTGACCTTTACAGACCTAACAAAATGTATTTGATCACTTTTTCCAGTGATGGATGTACTTCTCCCTGTTTCATTGTTCATTTCTCAAAATTAAATTATTATTATTAATTTAATTATTCATTATTATTAATTCTCATCCCCCTCTTTCTTTCTTTGTCTCAGTCACTTTGGATGTGTCAGCAGGCCACAAAAAGTGAGAAAGAGAGTAAATGAAAAGACACAGCATGTGTGTATACAGAATTGAAGAAGCCATTATTGTTCCACTATAATTATTGCAGGCAAATACTAATGACCAGTGTCACAAATATAAATCTAAAGTTCACACCCGCTGTTTTGCAGATGTGCACGCCTGAATAAAGCGATACTTGGCAGTCAGCAAGTAAACTGTAAAATCTAAATTATTTAGGGGAGAGGGTGGGAGTACAAAAGAAAGAGGCGACCAGATATGTGGAGAGGGGGACTGAAATAAAAAGCAGGGTAACGAAAGGAAAACAAAGAACGAGAGAAATAAAAAGAGAATGAAAGACAGAGAGAAAAGGAGACATTGAGAGAGAATATGCTTGAAGAGGGAGCCCTCGGGGAAAGGGAGGAGTAGATAGCAGCCGCTTCATTTGTTTCTTCTTCATCTTTGTAAGTAAGAAGTGAATCTGACAGTTATAATAATAGCAGAGTGATTCATTCTCCTTAATTGATTTGGACTGTGAAATGAGAATGCTGGATGCAAGCATTGCCAGTACCGGTTGTCACCGGGCTTCTGTGAGACGAAGATGAA